CGTTTATTTCCAAAGGCTCACCACAAAGGTATTTCTATTTTGGCCCATAATTTTTCATCTTGATAGAAAAAGGTAGATTTGACTGTCCACTTTCTCATTGAGTCTTGCCTTCACCGGGCATCTGCCCTTGAGCTGACCGCCCCCTCCGGCGACCCTATCCTCTCAACAGCAGTGTGGGAGCATCTGTACAGTGATGGGTTATCACTAAGGTTGCAGTCAGTAATACTGGCTAAGGAACCTAGCCACAGCCAGTCCTCTTGGAGCGTGGCATTGCTTGAGGCCCTGAATCAGGATAGCCTACCCACGAGTGAAAAACTCAAATTTGAATTTCTTTTTGGGCTAGATGAATGTGTTGAGAACGAAGTCACTCATGTGCACACTGCGGAGGAGCTGTACTCAAAATTGCTCGAGTATAGACCAGGTGATCTAAGCACTATCCTCTGGTACATTCTGCGTCCCGTAGAGGGAGAAGTCACCTCAGACACTGATCTGGCTCTTCCGGCAGCTCGTCTTAAAATTATCGTTGATTGTGAGTGTATTCCCGTTTTAAACCTTTCTCAATTTTCGCGTCTTATATGCTGTTTTTTTTCCTCAAGCGGTTAAGCGGGTCTTTCCTAAAACGCCCCTGTCTTTGGATAGACGTGACGTCTGCCAACTTGACGCAGTGGTATTTTTAGTGTCCTTGTCTGTTTCTTATTTGATTCGGTATGCATCTTCGGACCCTTCAATGCGTCAAGCCCAAGTGACATCTTTGTCATGGCCATCCCAACCACTCTGCCTCCTAAACAGTCGTCTCTTACCAAGTGGTGTGCAGCGTCGTTGTTGGAATGATTTATGTGCCCGTGCAAAAAACAAATCGTGAGTTCTCGTTTCACTAGTGGAGGTGAGATTCTTTATCTCACTTAGAGGATATGTTTCTTTGTAGGGCCGATGAGTCCTCTTTGACGAACTTTATCGATCAGTTGCGTTTTGCAAAGTCGACACAATCTGTGTCAGCTCGTCTAATCCTTCGTGTGGCTCAGGCCACCACCCATCTAACCTTAGAAACCTCAGCGACTGATTGTGTTCTGGCAAGGGCGGCTTGGGCATGGGAGGCTGGTCTTAAGGCGCTGGTGGAGAATTCGGAATTAACTAATCTCATCTACCCTTCCCTGAGGTATTTATTCCCTGAGATTTATGATCCAGTCCTTAAGTATGCTGATTGAAGTCTGATTTTCTACTTAAAGTGTACGAGAAAGGTACTCTGACGAGGGTATTCTTTTTCCGCCTGAGCTTAATTCCGATTGGTGGTACGGTACTAATGTGGAAAATCTCGTTACTGTGGCCTCGAAAGATCAAGCATGGTTCTTTCTCGGTTGGCGTTGGCTTGCTTCATACTGGCTGAAGCATCCACTACCCAAGCCGGAGGTATTGATGAGACATCTGCAATATCTGAGGGATGGAGCTCTTCCTATAGATGCGGAATGCGCACTTTTAGCCGCAGAATTGGTCGAAAATGCGGTTGCTCTGAGCAAAACTTCACATCTCATAAGACCTCTCGGTAATCTTGCTTTGAATCTTCTGAGCGCCGCGCTTACGTCTGTTCAAAGGATCCCACTTATTGATGAATCCATGGTATGCTTGTGAAAGACAGGGGAGTAAATTAAGATATAAATTGTGCTTTCTGTGTATATATTTGTGTCTGTAGACCAGGCCAGCAAGGAATCTTTCTGATGCTATCGAGTCATTGCAGAAGGCTTTGGAGTCGCTTAATGATTCTGGTGAGCAGTTCTTCTCGTCCGCTCGCTGTGCTTCCGGCTTCGATTCTCTTCATTACATCTTTTCTACCCAAGTTTTAGTCTATTGTGTTCCAGATTGTTCTTGCATAGCTGTCTTCTCTATGGATAAGAACGTTCTTAGGGCAACTGTGATTAATTTAGTGTGGTTCTAGCCATTTTATTACGGGGGATAAATTCAGGTGTAAGGCCCTGTGTAATTTGATGTAATCGCACTCCATATCAGGATCTAATAAGTGATCGTAAGTAGGGTTCGATTTCACAGTATTTTCCTTGTAAATTTTTCTAAACACGCTTCTTTGTCGTATGCAACTTTTGTGCTCCCATTTCGCTGAATAAACTATTCCTCTTTTGCGTTCGATCTTTTCGCAAACTCATGTATTTCTTTTGCTCTAATTCTGATCCGACGTTTTTTCTCTACTATC